GAATCCAAAATGTGTGTCCCAGCGCATCCAGCAGCCACGCTGAAAAGCTGCAGTACATCAAGCACCTTGTCACAGTAGTTTCTGCTTCCTGTAACTTTGTATAGAGCCAAGCTCTAAACCTTGTAGTACTATATTTTTCATTCTCAATCTCTCTGCCTTCTGTTAACGACAGAAAATGTAAAATTCTAGTGAAAATAGTAAATGAAAATTTTATGTTTTTGCCAACCTCATCGTCATTGAAAACCCGTTGTTGCTCGGCATCTAGCAGAAATTAGTAATCTATGGTAATTGGGATTTGAATTGAGTACTTGCGAAACTAAAATTAAAAATTAACAGTATCATTGTTTTTGGGGATTTTAACACACACAACGAAACCCAAACACAAAGGAAGCAAAGCTGAATTTGGAAATTTCAGGTGAATTGACACACCAATTTACAACGGGAGCAAAGGATCAATTTGGAAATTCCAAGTGAATTGACACACCAATTTACGTAAAAAACCTCAAGACAGGAAACAGCCACGGAAAATGCGAGAATGTCAATTTGGAAGACAATCCCTCACTAATGGATACCCAAATGATCTCACCTACTCTCACTCAGTATCTCTCAAGAATCCTCACAAACCCACCCATTCTTTGTTATGAACACTCTCTCATAATAGTGTTTTCACCTTTCAAATATTAAGTATTTATCATTTCAGTAAAAGACCCACACTTTGTCTCTTTTGGTGATTTTCTCACTCACCACACAAAAGGGGTCAAAAAAACACATATTTATGATTAAGGGTCTTGAGTTTGGGGTGTTTGGTACCAAAAATAAAGCCATGCCCTCCAATAGAAAGTTGAAACCTCATTATAAAATGTCCTTTAACATCAAGTTGCAACACTGCCTTGTAAAGTTCCAAAACCTTGCTGCTTTCTGACCATTTTTCTTCTCCTGAGTTCCAGAACCTTCCATCAATGTTCCAAAACCTTCATGACTACATTTTCTCATGAACCTTATCTTGTTCTCTCTTGCAAGGGCTTCAAGTATCAATTTTCAAGGCATATTCTCAACAATTGTTAATCTCTAAAAAATTGGTACTGAGTACATGTTCACATAAATTTACATCTTCGATAACAAATGGTTATTAACTGAACACCTCTAACAGGAATTTTGAACTTCCCTTTTTTGAAGATTCTTTTTCTTATTTTCAAATTGTGTCTGGTTACCAATTGTATCTGAAATCTGATACAGCTTCGGTAGCCAAAATCCAGGTCTTTCAATAAATGGTGACCCGTTAAGAACTAATGGCTCTCTAGCAAATTTAATCTCAACGCCATCTTATGTCCAGAATGTCAGTGTTTTGAACCTAACTAGCTAATGCATCCCCAATAGGAAGAGGAGCTCCTGTGAACCGTGTAACTCCATCCCTTCGCAAATGCATTGATTAGGGTAGACTTCTCAGCGTTTTGAGCCCTAATAACCCATTCATTCCTTCCAAGTATCAACTGTTGCCTCTTGCACTTCACACCCAAATCCTTGAAACAACCATTGCAAAACAAATTGGAGAGGAATTGACATTAACGCGTATCCATCATGAAACAGGTAAATTCTGATCTAGGGATTTCAATTTGCCTCCTAAACTCCTATTTCCAAAGAGTAATATTATGTGGCGCCTGAAAGCAAGCATTCTTGGAAATCATTATCAAGAGTTCCTTCTCTTTTTTTCTTTTCTTTTTTTTTTTTTTAATTCCATAACTAGATTCTTTATTATCTCTTAATATACTTTACCATGTGTTATGCAATATAAATTTAAAATTTGTAAAAAAAAAAATTAAATTAGTTAAGTCCTTGTTATTAAGAACTTTAATTACATATAATGCTGTCTTATACAAATCCTAGAATGTATAATCAAAGAGTTAGACCCCGATAAGTTAAAGGTCATGTAATGAAACCATTTTACGGTCATAATTTAAGTACTCGTTTTGCACATGC